ATTTCAGGCGTGGTGGCGCGCCAACTACACCAGCTTTCGGATCAGGTCAATTTTGCACCCACTGCATCCGTGCCAATCACACCATTCAGACTTGCTACAAACTCCACGGGTTTCCCGAAGGCTGGTCTCGTGGTGGTAGGCGTGGACGGGGTCGCGGGAATACCAAATCTCCACATGGTGGCGGTGGACACACTGGCGGTGTTAGTGGAGTTGTCCCAAATGTCGCGGCTGCAAATACCGTGATGGCTTCTCCGACTTCTGGTGTTGATGGCGGTAATTCTTCAGTCTTTCCGGGAATCAATCACGAACAGTGGACCACCTTGCACAATTTTTTCAATTCGGCTCCACCACCGCCTACAACCCCTTCTACTTCTTTGTCTGGTAAGGGTGTCTTTGGTAATTGGATGTATGATTCTGGAGCTACCCATCATATGACAGGTTCACTATGTCATTTGATACTGTTCAAGATATCCCGGGTGTTTTAGTTCACTTACCCAACGATCACCGTATTGTCGTTACTAAAGCGGGCGCCGTAGTACTTAGCCCCAATGTTTCGTTGGTTAATGTGTTATATGTGCCCGGCTTACTGTGCAATTTGATCTGGGTTTCTCAATTATTAAAGGATACGTCCTCGGTTGCTTACTTTGCTAAACATTTTTGTGTTATACAAGACCTCACTTCGAGGATGCCGATTGGAGCGGGTGAGCAACTAGAGGGGCTTTATTTTTTTCGGGATTGGGAGACTTCTGTAGCTATTACTACCACTAAGGCACCTTCAGTCGATTTGTGGCATCAACGTCTGGGCCATCCTTCTCCAAAGGTTCTCGACTTAATTCCTAGTGTAGGTCATTCCAAAGATGGTAGTTTTGTCAATAAGGCCTGTGATGTTTGTTTTAGGGCCAAAAAATCTCGAACTTCGTTTCCTATTAGTACGAGTGTTTCTCATGATCTTTTTCAACTCGTACATTGTGATTTATGGGGTCCTTATCGGATTCTTTCTTTTTTTGGTGCACGTTGTTTGTTGACCATTGTTGATGATTTTTCTCGAGCTACCTGGATATACTTGTTGTTAGATAAGACGGAAGTTTCTTTGAAGTTGAAAATTTTCATTTCTATGGTTGAACGTCAATATGACAAGACAGTTAAGCGTGTCCGTAGTGACAATGGGACTGAATTCATGTGTCTATCCTCTTATTTTCATCAACTTGGTATTTTATATGAAACTTCTTGTGTCGGGACTCCTCAACATAATGGTCGAGTAGAGCGTAAGCATAGGCATATTCTCAATGTGGCTAGAGCTTTACGTTTTCATGCTAATTTACCAATAGAATTTTGGGGACATTGTATACTTGCTGCTGGTTACTTAATTAATCGCACTCCTTCGAGTGTCTTAAAGGAAAAATCCCCGTGTGAAATTTTGTATGGAAAAGCCCCCTCTTTAACTCACTTGCGTGTTTTCGGGTGCCTCTGTTATGCCCATAATCAACATACTAAAGGTGATAAATTTTCTCCTTGAGATCGCAAGTGTTTATTTGTGGGATATCCCTTTGGCCAAAAAGGTTGGCAGGTTTATGACTTGGAGTATGGGGAATTTTTTGTTTCTCGTGATGTTAGTTTCTCCGAGTCTGAGTTTCCATACTTTACCAAGACTCCTCTCCCGTCTGGTTCGTCTATTGTTGACTCTCTTTCTGTCCTTGATGATGATGATTTCATGGAGATTGTTGAGTCTACTCCTGCCACCTCTTCTATACTGGCCACCTCAGACTCTCCGGCCACCTCTGCCTCTCCGGCCACATCTAACACTCCCGATACCTTCTCTGATAGGGGGTGCTCTCCTTCTTCGACTCCACCGGAACCTTTAGACCGCGCTCCAGTCAACTGGAGGTCGGAATCAGCCTGAAGAAAGATCCCCTGGCCAGGATTGCCCTTTAAGTATCTAACAATCCGAAGTGCAGCCTCCCAATGCGCTTGCATAGGCTTCTGCATGAATTGAGCGAGGGTATGAACAAAATAAGATAACTCGGGTCGTGTAACAGCAAGGTAAATTAGGCGACCAACCAACCGACGATAGATCTCAGGATTGATTAAAGGAGTATCAGTAACTAGCAGAAGGTGATGATTCTACTCCATAGGAAAACCGGCGGGTTTGAAACCCAGAAGACCAACCTCAGAAACAATATCCAAGGCATACTTGCGTTGGCAGAGAAAGATGCCATAGGGATGGCGTGCCACCTCAATGTCGAGAAAGTATTTGAGGGTGCCAAGATCCTTCATGTGAAAGCAGTTACTCAAATAGTTTTTGAAAGACTGAATGGCAGCCCGATCATTACCCGAAATGATGAGATCATCTACGTAGACCAACACAGTAAGCTGAACAGCTGCTTGACGAAGGACGTCAGAAGATGATTGCTGGAAGCCATACTGGTGAAGAGCACTAGCCAACTTGGCAAACCAACACCACGAAGCCTGGCGCAGGCCATATAGGGAACGACGAAGGCGACATACTGTCCCGGGAGAAGGAGAGGAAAAACCAGGAGGAAACCGCATATATACTTCCTCGGCCAAATCACCATGTAAAAAGGCATTGTGAACGTCCATCTGATGAAGTTCCCAGCCCTTCGCAGCAGCAACAGTAAGAAGTGTACGCACTGTGACCATCTTTGCCACGGGAGCAAAGGTCATTGTAGTCAAGTCCCTCGATCTGATTGTTGCCCAAAATGACGAGACGAGCCTTGTAGCGCTCGACCGTGCCATACGAGCGGTACTTAATTTTGAACACCCACCTGCACCCAATGGTGCATTTTCCAAGTGGAAGAGAAGCAATACTCCAAGTACCACTCTGTTCCAAGGCCTCAATTTCCCGTTGCATAGCAGCACGCCACCTTGCGTCTTTAACAGCCTCGTTAAAGGAAGGCGGTTCCACCCCTACAGTAACACTTGCCAAAAATGCTCAATGGGACGATGAAAAAGTATCACAGGAAACATAATTGTGTATGGGATAGGACGCACCTGAGGAAACCGATGAGAAGAAGGGAGCGAGAGAGGGGGGCCTGAAGAAGATACTGTGTGGGCGACGAAATCCTTCAAGCGAGTAGAACGCTCCTTAACCCGATGGCCACGGAACCTTTATGTTTGTTTATGTTTGTTTGTTTTTGTCTGTTTTTGTAGGCATGTGTTTTTGGTTTGGGCTTCGATCTCTGTCTTCCTTCGAGTGAATGCATTATTATCCTGTTGGGATCGATTCTCACTCGGGCATTATCCTTTTGGGATCCTTACTAGTTTTTGTTTTGTAGTGTTGTGTTTGTATCTTCTAGCGTTGGTAGATCCGGCTTTAGGCGATTTAGAATCGACCTCCCAATCTTTTCAACTGTTGGTTGTATCATTCAGTCTTTGGTTGACTTTCTTTTCACACTTTGTGGTTTTATAAAATCCTCTATCGTTCTGAAAAAAAAAACAGAAAAAAAAAACTTAGAAAGTACACATGTTAAATTTTAGAGACACTAGTTACACTTACAGGACATGTGTCCTCAAGTCTTTTACATACATGAGGACAGTTTTAAAGCCTAGATGTATGTATGCTCATTTATAAAAAGTCAAAATAAAAAATTAAAATTTTGCCACAACATAGTTTATAATAGCGCCTTTTATAATCATAATTATATAAAGTAATTATTTCACAATTTGTTATATTAAATTATACTTTATTTTGTCCGTTGGCTATATATATACACTAAATATTTTAAAATCAAGTCCGATATTAACTATAGATAGCCAACGAATTATTAGATTCATTATGTAATTGAAAAATTAATTTTAAATTTGTAAAATTAAATATATGCTTATATTATTATAAATATACAAAAAACTAGAAATTGATTTATATTCAAAGTTAGTATTTCAAATTGGTAGTATAGTTGTGTATTATCATAATTATTAATAAACAAGTAAAAAATATTTATAAAAGTTTATATTTAAGAACTAAAAAATAGTGAAAAAAAAAAAAGGAATTATGAGGGTCAATTGGTTTAGTCAAGCTGATTGGATCAATTGATAACTTCAAAAAATGTCCTGAACACATAACCCAGCTATCGTTAAATTCTTAATGAAAAAATTTTCAGCTAACTAGCTACCTTCTAATTNCTAAATATATAGATTTTAAATTTAAAATATTGTTCGTTCCATTCATTGCACTAGTCAGGATACTAATTGAGATCAAATTAAAGTCTGGAAAACTTTTTAGCCTTATTCATTGGACGCGTAAGGATACTAGTTGAGGCCAAATAAGAGACGTAAAAACTGTTTTAGCCCTGCCTTAAGATATGATATTGTAATGACGCTCAAAACCAAATTAGTTATGAACTCCATTAATTAACAACAATGCAAAAGCTAACTTTTATACAACTTCTTATCTGCTCCACGCTTTCATTCAATTCAACTCTAATGCCCAAACCAGCCTTCTGCCAACCAACTAGCTAGAACTAGGTTTTTTCCACGTTCTAATCCTTTTTTTCTATCCCCATTAAATTACCGATTCCCACCAGAGTCAATAAAGCATTCAGAAAATACGAACTACGGATTACAAAAAGCAGCCCATCACCAAGATTACAAGTTACAGCCTTTCAAAAGGAGTTACGTGCTTAAATATTGCTCCAGTATTGAGAGGACACAAATTAAAATGCTCCAATATTTTCAAACAAAATCTTTAGTAGTGCCTGATTTTTTCTTCGTAGAAAAATGGGACCTTTATGGAATAGTATGCATTTAATTCAGCAGAAGCTTATACAGCACCACCACTGTAGCTTTTGTCCCCCTTCTTGTTCTATATATCTCCAGTACTTACCTCGTTTTGTACTTAGCTATTTGGTTATCCAATTTTGTCATGTGGTCTATTTATTATCATACTAAGTTAATTTGGAATTTGTTGCCGTACGTGCTAATTGATAAATTGTTTTCTGCAAACAATTTATTAATCAATCAGCTAATTGACTAATAAGTTGCAAATGAAGGGCCCGGCGGTTACGTCCCATCCGCAGGCCCACACACAAGCACTAGACGGCCCGGCCCGGTCTGACCACCATGAAGGGCCCGAGAGCTTCGCATGCCCGGTCTGCACCCAGCCTTTCTCATCTGCCAAATCCGTCCACGGGCACATGTGGAAGCACCGGGACAGGGGTTGGAGGGGCATGAGGCCTCCCCGACACCACCACGTCCTCCCACTCGGGCCCCACAGCAGTAACGGGCAGCCGAAACTGCTGACCCTGCCCGGCTGGCCCAGGCAGTCGGGCAGACATGCGAAAGCACTGGGGAACGGCGGAGGCATCGATATCTCGATTTCACAAGAGCAAGCATCGACTGGCGGGGGAAGTGGGGCCCACAAGAGGCTGTACGCGTGCAGTGTGTGCGGAAGGAGCTTTAAGAGCTACCAGGCCTTTGGGGGCCACAGATCGCATCACGTCAAGATGGAGAAGATTAGGTCGTCATCCGTGGACGATGATGGTGTGGAGTCCGTGGGTGTAGCATCTAATAGTTGGGCGATTGTGCCGTATGTAGGGCCCGCAATTTTCAATCAGGTGCAGTCAGCAGGTGAGGTGCCCGGTGACCACGAGCAAGAGGAGGAGCGTGCACGGGTTTTGTGGATTGATCTTAACGAGCGACCGCCTGAATGGATCGAATGAAGTTCATCATAATCGACCTCATTCTTCTTTGGTTGTAACTAGTCGCGACCTGTCACCCGTGCATGAGTATGATATATTTTTCGGGAATGTTTAACATGTGCATGCAATATTAAAATTAATAGGAGTTTTTATATATTTAACAAAAATAAACGGGTCACAAAGAATGTAAAAAATCAAATATTATGAACACTTTCTTGTACACAAGATTTTTGGTTTGATTTGTTGGCGAGTCATCGTCACTACATATTAATATTTTTCAAACCACTTCGGTTGGTGACACGGGAGACGAGAACATGTGACTGATCATGACTGCAAAACGGCTTCTTAATAAATAAACTAACATGTGATAACAATTGTCCATGACTTTTGCTTACAGTCATGAAGTATGAAACCATAATGGAAAACTTTCACAACTCAACTTGAAAGAAATTAATTCTGACATCGGAAGGAGTTATAGTCATTCTAGAAAGTAAAACCTTCTCGCATGCATGATCCCCAGTCAGTATCTTACACTCATGAACATGAGTGGAGAGTTTTGTCACAATCCATGTCACCCCATTACATTGACCCATAGAATGATCCATGTTCCGCAACAACATGATGGGAGTTCCAATCTTCAAATGCAACTAATGATTTAAAATTCCCGAATATTTGATGCTATTCAAGAACTCGGGTATGTGGAGATCAAACAGAAAATCGTTATTATAGTCTGACTTGCACGTACTATTGGAACTTAGGTACGTATGGCCATCAAGAAAATTCAACGATGTAATGTGCTCATTTATAGACTCGACAACATCCCGAGTCAGTGCTAATGTAACATCGTCCTTCAAATATCTGGGATCATCAGTTGTTTGCTTAAACATAGGATATGTGCTTTCAACGATTTGAGTAATCGAATTTGAAGAGAGCTGAAGCAATATATCTTTAGGTATGTCTATCATTGCACAACTATCATTGGACTCCATTATAGTTCCATCTCCCATGCTAACTATCCATTCAATGAACTCAGCAACCTTTTCATGTTCGTCTGAATCACAAAGGCTTTGAAAACGCATGTTTTTTGTAAGTCCGAGCACAATACAACTCCTCCATATGTCATAAGCATTAATCGCAACATTCACTATGTCCTGACAGATGCCCTTCGAAATAACTGGAAGGATTCACCGAAATCTCCACAAAAAACAATAGGTTTGACGCCAAATGATTTGTCCTTGTTAGAAGGATCAATTGCTCTCATGAAACTCTACAACGATGTTTGGACAACTTCAAAACAATGGTTATGCATCATCGGAGCCTCATCCCATATTATACGAGAAGCGCGTATTATTAATTCCGCAAGAGGGCTAGAGCCTGATTGATATCGCAAGAAGATTCTTGGTGTGGATTCAATGGTATGGCAAAGCGAGAATAATGTATATGTATATGGTTTTTATCGATTGATTGATCGATTGCCTCTTTTGGACCTGAGAGGTGGTATTTATATGAGAAAAAATGATGACGCATTAAATACGGAATGACAGATAGGAGCATAGGGTGACGCCACATGTTTTCATGCTTAACTGAATGGGACAGCTTGGGTGGTGCTATCAGCTTTGTCAATTTTAGTTCAGACGATAAAGGTGATCGTCAATCTTCCTCGAAAAGCTTCCGTGAATGATCGGTAGGTCGATCAGGTGATCGAAAACCCTAATCTTATGCCTCCAAGCTGGTTGTGGAGCATGTGTTGCGCTTCGGCCAAGTTCTCTACTCTTTTGGACGTCAATTCGCATTTGGGTCACACCTTTTTTAATTTTAGAACTTAGTGACCGATAAATTTGAGGTACAACACATGTGTTAATTTATTTATTACTGTGTTCAAATACTTTAAGTGATAATAATAAAATATAAGAATGTGCAAAAATGGTAAATTTTTAATAACTATGTTTCTTATGTTTTAATATTTTATATTATATTCATAACTTTTAGTGCAAATACAATTTTTATTTTTTTTTTGTTCTTCACGTTATCTCATGTGCTTTTCTTTACTGTTTTTAGTTGTTTCTCGTACCTCCTATTTAATGAGAACATGACCGCTTCCTTCCACCCGGGCTAGTTTTATGGCCTCCTTGTTTTATATTTTCCTAAGTCTTTGATACTATTTAAATTCTGAAATATTCAAATTTCACATATGTACTCGTTTTTCTCCCGTATGGAAAGTTTTGTACATACAGAGGTTTTAGTTTTTTTATTGATTACTAGTAAAGTGCACGTGCGATGCACGTGGTGGTGAATGTTTTGTCAATTAAGTTTAGTAAAACAAATTAATTAATTTATTAAAAATATCATTGCAAGAATAAAATAAAACGTAGAATAAGTGAGCTCATAATGTAATTGTTTTTGCCGATTAAGTTTTGTAAAATAAATAAATTAATTGATTAAATATATCATTGCAATAATGAAACAAAATGTAGAACAAATTGTTTTTTCCAAAATAACTTAACGATGTCCTAATATAAAAACAATTAAATAATACATGACAACCCCAACAAAAATACTAAATAACTAAATAATGACTAATATATATTATACATGCATTAGTTCTTTTATTTGTTTATGTTAGATGATTCAATAGCGATCTCTTTCGTTTTGAAATCCTCATAAGAAGCATTGCTGATTCAATTGTATTGCAAAATTCATCTTAATTTATTTGGCAAAACGTCTACTTTATTCAAATACTAAAAAAAAATATTCTAGTCCAACATATAGTGAAACTTCATGGTTGTATCATATTTATATTTCTACTAACAATGCATGAATATCTCTGCAAAATAACTAATCGTGTCATTAAAATTGTTGATTATTTTTTATCATTGTATAAACTATTATATTACTCTCTCTATATATATAGACAAAATTGATACCTACCCATTGATGTATCGCCTTACAGGGGGAATGAATTTCATCTCGAAATAAAAGTTGACTTTTCAAAATCTCTATTACATGTAATTTTCCCGAGATTAGTTTTTGAAATCATCACATATTACCTAAAAGTACATACTCTAAAATAATTGTACATATGTTCAAACACAATACACCAATGAAATTATAATATTCCTATAAGAAGTGTCAACTTCATCCAAACATTCAAAAATGTTTTGATCAGTCTTCAACATTTCATTTTCAATGTCATTTATTTGAAAGATAGACGAACTATATAATATATTGTTTATAAATCATTGACCACCTAGTTCTTGCAATGATTTTAGAATTATTTATTTTAATATCTTTCACATTTGTTTGGATTTGTAACATTTATGTGCCCAATAACTTTTTTAATGCTTTTATCGTCAAACTTTATGCATCATACATAATGCTCATAAAACTCAAGATAAACATCATTTTTTGATTCTTCACCAATGACAACACCAATCAAAACAAAACAATGAGACAACATTGAGAAGTATATCATTTGTTAAAAAAATGAGAAAAATTGGAATTCTATTTTATGACTCTTAGTCATCTTTGAACTTTATTATTACGAAATCATTATTAAAATCTACTATATGTGTTATAATGTTTTAAATTTTTAATTATATAAAATTAAAAATTGATAATATAGGATCATTTATTTATGAGATCCAATTTCTTACAGAGTCCATATATTTAAATGCTAGCAGCAAAAAAATATTATCTTTAAAAGACTTTTTCTTTCTAAATATTGGTATTCATACTTGTCTAAGAAAATTCAAACGTTTTCTTTTTTTTTTTCAATTGTATTACTATTACTTTATTAGTTTTTTATTATAATGATAAGTAATACTTTATTTATTAAAAGAATTATAGCACATTTATATGTATTGCATCATTTTTTGTACGTGTTTCATATAATGACGATGTTAACAAAATATCATATTCACATAAGATAAAATAAAATTGAGCTTGAGTTAAAACCTACCACCAGCGTTTAGAGAGTGGTGACACCCCCAAATCGCTCTAACCCTACCACCAGCGTCTCTTAATTTCTCCATCTCTCGGCCTTCCTCAGCGGCGGCGGACTCGGGCCTGTGGTCGTCCCCAATTGCGCGACCCATCCCGGATGCCATCTCGTCTCCGGCGCTTCTAATGGCGGACGATTTGTCGCGACCGCTCACTCCCGATTCCGCCTCTGGTGGTGAGGTTTTGTGGGCTGGTCGCTAAATCTGAGGCCTGGGGGGGTGTTGGGAGAGACGTGGGTCTGCGGATGGGTCGGGGCCCTGGCAGCTGCGATCTTGTTGCGGCGGTCAGTGCGAGGAATTGCCTCTTCACCTCGGAATCCTTCACTGAGATCGAATTCAGTTTCTTGGGCCACCTTTGAGGTATTTTCCGTCTATTGGCTGTGTTGGTTGTCGATTGAGGTTACTGGGGTTCTTTCGGGAAGGCTTCAGCTTGCCGTCGGTTCGAGCTCTGGTAGCCGACGGGTTGTGGTTGTTTTGGACGAGGTCATATTGTTCTGGGCGGAGCGTTGCTCTAGGTGCTGAGGTTCGTCAAGGTCGGGGAGGCCGGTTTTGAGGAGCTGGGCCACCCTCACTCTTCTCCGTTCGGCTAGTGGTGTTAGGCGGCGAGGGAGGGGTTCCTCTCGAACTCGACTAGTGGTGTTAGTCGGGATTGATTTGGACTGGTGTGAGGGCTGGCTCCGTCTTGTTCCTCCGGTTGGTGTCGGGTCGTTTTCGGATATTAGTTCGTGTTCGGGTTCAGCTTTTGTATAGGCCTTATGGCAGTTTCGGAAGTGGCTCCGTGGATTTGGCTTCTTCTTCGTCAACGACTGCTCTCTGCTGGCTTGGTCTGTTTGTTTTGCTGTGAAAGGGCTCATTTTTTCTTTTTGTGTTATTTGAATCGTTTGAGTCTGTGTTAGGTTGTATTTTGGATCTGGGTATGAGTGTTTGTTCTGTTTTTTTGGTTTGGGCCGTTGGCCTCAGTTTGAGAGGGAGCAAATTTATTCTCCTGTGGGGAGCGGCTCTTGTCTCTATTCTCTTGTGGGGAGCTTTTTAGTTGTAGATTTTTCGTGTGTTTATTGTGTGGTTGTCTTGAGTGTCTTGTTTTGGTTTCTAGCGTTGCTAGTGTCGGGCTTCTAGGCGGTCGTCAGACCCGTCCTCCAATTTTATTCAGCTTTGGGCTGCGTTCCAAGTTGTATCTTTGCACATTTGTGCGTTTGTTATATATATTCTCTATCGTTTCAGAAAAAAAAAAGATAAAATAAAATTTAATATTACTTATTTATTTATTTATTTATAATAATAATATATTTGATAAAAAATGTAGTTTTATACTGATTGTTAGATTAAAAGGTTTAGAATTTTTTCCCAATGTTTGAGAAAATATTAAGAAACTAACTCATTTTCATACTCATTAAATTTATGTGTTATTTGAATAATAATTTAACATACAACTCGTTTATTTCTCCTTTTAATTCACATGGTTAATATTGGTGATAGTTGTATGTTTACATCCATTGTTTGTTTTCTCTTAATATGAATTTTCGGATCTATGTAAAAAAATATGCCACAATTTTATATTGTGTTATTTAATACTTAATGAATTTATGTAACATGGATGTATAATTTATTTCATAAGATACTTTTAGGTCTATTTATTATTTGTAATTCGTGTATGATCCTGCTCGAGTTGCTCATTCTCGTCCTCATTTTTGCTATCATTCTCGTGGACGTTCGCTTCTTCATTCAAATTATCATAATACCGACCATCATCCTCACCATCAAATATACTATCTTCACCCCAATCAACATGGTTGGAAAAATCACTTTCAACATCTCGACGAGCGTAATCTTACACTGTATTCCGAGATTGATTTGAATTATAATCATCTCGCCCAATATTATGATCAAAACCAATATTTGGGTTGCTTTGCCAATAAAACAAATAAAATTTGAACCATAATCGATTTTTAGGATCTAGTTCTTGTACCAGAAGTCATTATGGGATCTAAAAATGATTCCAAAAATCGTTTTTGGGATTTCTGGGACGTCTTGCATTTATGGGGTCCAGAAATGATTTCTGGTCCCAAAAACAATTTCTGGGGTTCAGAAATCGTTTTTGGGACTTCTTGCATTTCTGGGGTCCAGAAACAATTTCTGGACCCAGAAATCGTTTCTAGGATTTCTGAAACCATAAATCGATTTCTAGAACCAGAAATCATTTCTTAGATTTCTGAGATTTCTGGGACCAGAAACCATTTATGGTCCCAGAAATCGTTTATGAGATTTTTTGGATTTTTGAGAATAGAAATGATTTTTGGGGTCGGAAACGATTTCTGGGGTCTGGAGCCCAGAAATCGATTCCAAGAGCCCAAAAATTGACGATTTTTTTTTTTTTTTTTTAATAAATTTTTTTTTTATTTAATAAAAATAGATAGTAAGAGTATTTTTGTCTTTTCAGGTGCCAAAATGACTAAAAAAGATGTTTTTGGCAAAACATGGCTAAAATTTATCTTAGCCATTTTTACATGGCAAAAAAAAATTCTCTGATTACTAAATTTCAATTAAAAAATATTTTACAGTTTCACAACCTCAAAACAAACAGATCGATTAATGAAAATGGGATATATATCATAAGCCTAAAGAAAAGAAACAATATAAATGAGGAACAGCACCGTGGCACTCCACCTCATTATCAGTCCCTTTCTTCCCTCCAAATCCACCGTCCCCGACGACACGTTGTCTGATTCCAGCCGCGCGTCTCTGAATGGGGTCACCCCGTACAACGTCTGGATCCCCACCACGTCATCCTCCGCCAGCTCCACCTTTCTCGTCCTCCGCCCCTGGTGAAAGTACATGACCGCATCCCTATCCGTCGAGTGGCCGAGCCCGAGCACGTGCCCGATCTCGTGCATGGCCACCGACTCGAGGTCCACCGCAACCTTGGACCGCTCCTTGCGCAAGTCGGTGGTCCATCTCTCGGCCGCGTCCAGGTGGATCCGCCCGTCCTCGGGTTCGAACGCGTGGGCCAGCACACTGAGCACCCCGTCAAACGGGAGCCCGTCCCCGTGGTCCCCGTTGTACCACCCGATCTTCACGTCCGCGTTTTCATAGTCCTCCGTCTCGGTGAAGGTCACGGGGATGAACGCGCACCAGCGGGCGAACGAGCGGGCGAACGCGGCCCGCACATCCGTGGGGTCCAGGTAGTCGATCCCGTGGTCGGGAGAGAAGGCGTACGTGAGGGTGCTCTTGCGCCAGCGTGGGGTCCTGCTGAAGTAAGTGAAGTGGGACACGTCGTGGAGGAGGGAAGGAAAGGAGGCGGGGGAGGGGGAGGGGGAGGGCGAAGGCGCCGCCGGAGACAGCGGGAGAGAGGAGAGGCAGTCTAGGGAAAAGAGCAGCAATAATACTGATTTGGAACACCTAAAATACGGGGACATAATTAAGATATATTTATGCCCAGCTTAACTTACTAATTAGATACACAAGGTGGAAAAATTGTTAGTAGGATTCAGAAATTGATGTTCAGAGTGACTTGATATTTTTGTTCAGGGTAACATGCGTCAGTTTATATTATAGGAATTAATGTTTTTCCTGATTGTTATAGGAATTAATTTTTATTATTATTATTATTATTATTATTATTATTATTATTATTTTTCCCTATATCCGTTAGAATTAGGTAACCTAGATACGATGGCGGTAAACAAACAATCGTTCGGTGAAAGTTGGAAGATTATTCTTGTGTGAGATGCAGGAATATTTTATTAATACTAATTAACGTGGACCCTAGTGTTTATATTAATGTTAGACTTAACTAAATATGTATATATTTAGTAAATATGTATATGTATATATGTAAATTGAGACGCCTTATATATTTCAAAAGTAACATAAATTAAAGTATAAAATTTCATAGCTTAGTTATGTATTTTTATTAAAAATAACTATTACGGATCGATCTGATCAGGCCCATCTTGCAGAAGAATTTATGAAATCTAAAACCACTCATAATTGAACATTACAATTTGCTAACTTTTTACATATGGGTGGTTCCAACTTTGAAATAAATTGTTTATTGTCTCTAATTTGTATAAAATTCTAATATTTTACGATAAAATATACATCGCTGTTGAATAGTACATACTATTGTTGAAATATAAACCGAAAGGAAATTAATCCAATCTCAAAATTATTCATGTCAAATAAGTAAGAATCAATCAAATAAAAGGGAAGCGTAAATGAATTACTTAGTGTGTAAATGAATTATCTGTGTGGTCTTTCAACAATCGAAACCTTACAGAAAATATATTACATGTATATTGTATATGGTAAGAGTAGTATATATTTAATGTACTGATTATACATGAATTCATTAACAATGAGAATTATTTTCTTCAATTTGTTGGACTGGTGTGGTCTTCCAACGATCCAAATCTATATATATATATATATATATATATATATATATACATAATAAGAATTAACATTTACTAAAAATAGTAGCCAAAAATTTAGGAAACATTTAATGCATACAATTTTTAGAAACTTTTTAAATATATGCATTAATTGCCTCCATATACACATTTTCAAAGAAGATCAAATAAGGCATGATCAAAAAATTACTTAAATAAATTTATTAATATCTGCAATATTTTCATTGATATTTATTATAATAAATTACAAGATTGATTTTCTGTTATTCATGTTGATAATAATTTGGTCAAGATAAATATTATTTTATTAATATTTGTAATACTTTCATTGATATTCATTATAATAAATTACAAGATTGATTTCCATGATCCATGTTGATAATATTTTGGTCAAGATCAATAGTACACCATATTTTAAGTTCTAACCATAATATTAATTTTTTTTCACAAATATCCACTTTTTATCCAAAAATATTTATGGAAAATTGTAACAGGTTAGGTAGAATTTTTTTTTCCAAGTAATCAGACAAAATCAAGTTGGTGAATTAATCTTTGACAATATATCTTTTTCTTAAGCTTTATTTTATGAAATATAAAAAATAACTTGTTCTTCAAATTAATATAATTTATCATTTAAGAGATAATGACCAAATATATTAAATAGTTTTACTAATGGTAAAAAATTAAAATTGAAATATAGTAACTATTTTTTAGAATTTATTTGTATATTATTGGCACCCATCATTATTTTTTCTTGTATTTTGATTTATTTCTATAATTAAATTTTTGTAAAATATATTTTCATCGCAGAATATGCTAAATAAACTATAAATCCTTATAATACGAATTAGAAAAATCTTGATCGTAGAAGGGATTGAGTTTTTGGCATTTTCTAAATCAAATTTTTTTAATTAGTATACAAAATTAAATTCTAAAAAAACATATGTATATTTTTTAAAATATTTATACACTATTTAATTTTAAATTTATTTACATATTTTAAATTGATTAAATAAATAAATAAATAATACTAACGCGCATTAAATACTTTTCATCACATAAAATAAAAAGGAAAAGAAGACGTACAACTTCTATAACCTTATAAATAATAATGACATTATATGATAATAAAGTTTATAATAAAATAATTAAATATTATCTGGTGAGCAAGAATAAGTAAAATTGTTATTCTCTCTTATATATATATATATACTAAAATCAAATTTATTTTAGTATAAATGTGTTAGTGAGATAATATATTAATTACTTTACAAGCTAGCCTTAACATGCTCATATTTAATGCTTTGACTGAAAAAAAAAACGCTGATTAAAAGAGGTGCAAAATAGACCTTATTGTTTGTTACACTTAATGCTGATTAAAAGAAGTGGAAAATAGATGATAACTCTATTGATTTATATACTTAAACGGACAAAGCGTGTGAAAGTAACTCATTTAATATTTATGTTCCGTGCATCGCACGGGGTACGTACTAGTCTTACAGAAGATATATTATTTGTATATTGTATGTATACATTTAATGTACTAATTGTGCTTTCAAAGGGATAAGCAACTATTTAGAAATATGCTCGTACCTTTTCGTTGTTTGAAGTCATAACTAAATAAATAAGATTTATTAATTCATCTATCTTAGTAGTGACAAACTAAGAGGAAAAATATAAGATAGGCCCAAAACTCTTCCTCTCGAGGAAGAAGATCGTGCAAACCCATGAGTAGTGGTATGCCCGAGTGCTAGGCTTGCGGAAGGCTTTTCAAAGGCCAGCCCGGGATCAGCACACACAAGCACGTCAGGTCCCGTCAGCAGTCATCACCTCTGAGCAGGGCAATAGATGGGCATGTCGAAATTTGTTTCGACAATAATCCATTCAATATACTATTTCATCATAAAGACAATTAAATATAATTTGCATTGTACATTAGTTTTCTTTTTTTTTTTTGTGCATTGTACATTAGTTATCCTTCCAACATTACGACACAAAAAGTCCCTTCAGGTTAGGGTTTTTTTCTCTCTAGTGGATATTCCAGTTCTTTTTGTAGGATTTTGTTTTTTCTTCTGATTTCTGCTTGGTTTCCCCCTGGGTATGCGATTAGGGTTTGATTTGTCTGCTGTGACTCTCATTGCCTCTCTAACTATTTGGTTTGTGTTTGCTGCTCGTGGTCCTTTTTGTTCTTTTACTGCGACATAGTGTGTCTGTTTGTGGTTTCTTGTTTAGTGTGCATTGTTCTGTTCTTGCTGTTTTCTTTTTGCTTGTCTCTGTGTGTGTTTATCTTTTTCCACAGATCGCTAAATTGGGGTCCAGAGTATGGAGGAGGAAGTGGTAGGCAGGCTGAATAAATTTGCGTTATCAGATCGTGAAGTGCAAGGAGTAACTCTCTCGAACGATGATGTTGCTCTAAGAATTCAAGAATGTAAATTGAGCTTACTCGGCAAACTGTATGGTGATAAAAAAAAATCAACTTTGGAGGACTCCGGGCCACTATCACCAGGCTATGGGTAACCCGATTACCTTTTACTGTTCGCAACTTAGGAGACAATTTATTCCAGTTTGTGTTCCAATGTGTCGAAGAAAAAGACAAAATCATACAGGGGAAGACATGGAATTTTGATGGATACTACCTCTTGTTAAAATCATGGGAACCGACAAATACTGAATTTATAGAGGATGATGAATTTGTGAAGCTCTGGGTCCAGATTACCAATCTTCCCCTTCATTGGCTATCATATGAGACAGGGCTTAAAATTGGGGGAATTATTGGGCGTGTGTTGGATGTTATTGTCCCTAGTTCTGAAAATGGCAATGGCAGAATGATTAAGGTTTTGGTAGAACAAAAGTTGAAGGACCCTCTTCTGCGTGGGACTAATATTAAATTGGGGTCTGAATATAAATGGGCTACTTTCAGGTATGAAAACTTGCAAGTGTTTTGCTTCTACTGTGGTAGAATAGGCCATGGTGAGAGAACATGTGGCTGTAAAATAGAAGATGCAGCTAGAAACAAAATTAACCTGGGGCAATTTGGGGACTGGTTAAGGGCTTCAGTGTCTTCCCACTCAGAGTCTAAATCCCCTAAACCTAGCTCTGGTGATAGTATGCCATCTGTTGATAGAAATCTTAAGAGCCCCTCTATTCAAATTGAGGAAACTGAGGTTGGCGGAAAATCAACAGGATCTGCTGTTGGTTTAAAAGCTACTCCTGAGGAGAGTATCCCTCCACCTAGGGTTGAGTTGAAGAGTAACCCTGATATCCCTAGTGTGTTGAAACCAGTTGAAATTGTGGAGAGTGATGCTTTGTTTGAAACCCCTGTTGTCCAGTCTCTTAACCTAATAGATGTTAATGTTCAGGATTGTCCTGAGCTCAGTATTCCTCAGACTAAACAGAGAGGTTTTGTGAGGAAACCTAGAGTGAATCCCTCTATAAGGATAGAGGAGATGCAGGTTGACCAAAAATGTTTAACCCTCAAACATATTGAGGGGGGATCTAATTTAAAGAGAGGTTTTTAGGATACTGAGGTGATAGAGGATCAGGAATGTATTGCTCTTTCAAAAAAACCCAGAACTGTTGGTAAAGAAATGAGTAATGTGGTGGAGGAGGCCAATCCTAAGTGGCCCCACCCCTCTCAATGAAGGTATGTGTGTGGAACTGTAGAGGTTTGAGAGGACCTTCTACAGTTTCCCAAATCCGAGAGACTTTAAAAGCTCACCTCCCTGATTTCCTTTTTTAAATCTAGTTTTGTCAAAACTGTTTGTAAGAAACTTAAGTTTGAGGAGACATATGGATATGTATGGATCCAGTGGGGACTAGAGGTGGTCTTCTTTGCACTGGTCCAATAATGTAATTATTATTGCCCTCAACTGTTTTTATTTTTTTGTGGAAGTTCAATTCTCTTTCAAAGGAGGTACTGAGGTCATATGGGCCATTTTTCTTTATGCTAGCACTGATTCAACTATTAGACAACTGCAATGGAATTTATTGATTGAGCATAAGCAGTCCTGAGGGGATCTTTGGGTATTAGGGGGGACTTTAATGATCTGTTCTCTTCTTCTGAAAAGAAGGGAGGGATTACTAGAAGTGTATTTTCTTTTGAAGCTTTCAGACATTTTGTAAGTTCTTTAGGAGGTGTTGAAACTCAAGTGGAGGGTCATCCTTTCACCTGGTCCAATAACAGGCAAGGTGATCATTTTGTAGAGGAGACATTAGATAGGTTCTTCTTATCTCCTCAATGGCTTACCCAGTTCCCCGGAGCAGTGGTTAATCATTTGTTTCTCATATCTTCTGATCACAGCATGATCATATTACACCATAGGTCTGAGTTTGAGACTTGTAAGAAGAGATTTTACTTTGACTCTCGGTGGATAGTAGAGGAAGGATACAAGGAATTGGTAGAAAGAGCTTGGAATAAGACAGTGTGGGGACATAAGCTGTACAGCCTTGGGCACAAGATCAAAAATGTCAGGGATGCTCTTAAACAATGGAAAGCAAGCCTTCAAACAAATTCAGCTAAAATGGAGGAGCTAAGGGCTCAGGGAGGGATGAGAGATTGGGGGAGTGGCACAACCAGAAGCAACTGTTGGATAAAGCATACCGAGATGAGGAACAATATTGGTTCTTAAAATCAAGAGTCCTCTGGATAAAAGCGGGTGACAGAAATACTAAGTTTTTCCAAGCATCAGTCAATCAAAGAAGAATTACAAACTCTTTGGAAAACTTAGTTAACTCAAGAGGAGTAAGATGCTCCAGTATTAATGAAGCTGCAGATGAAGTAAGATCTTATTTTGATCATCTTTTTCACACAGCAGAACCACAAGTAGATATGTGTGATCTCAGTGGCATCACAAATTCTATAACCAGCCAAGTGAATGAGCAACTGATTCAAGAAGTGGAGGAAGAGGAAATTAAAACCGCACTCATGGATATGGACCCCAATAAAGCACCTGGATCTGATGGTATGTCCACTATTTTTTTTTCAAAAAGCTTGGCACTGTATGAAACATCATCTTATTGCTGCAGTAAAAAATTTCTTTGAATCTGGGGTTATGCCCAAAACTACTAATTACACAATCATTACTCTCATTCCTAAAATCAGAAATGCTTCTAAAGTTTCAGACTTTCGGCCTATCAGCTTGTGTATTGTCACTTACAAAATTATTGCTAAAATCCTTGTAAACCGGCTGAAACCTTTTTTGAGTTCTTGTGTGTCCCCTACTCAATCTGCTTTTATTCCCAACAGATACATTCTTGATAATGTGGTCATTGCTTCTGAGTGCATTCATTTTCTAAATGGTAAAAGATGAGGCAAAGAGAAGTTCATGGCAGTCAAGTTAGATATGTTTAAAGCGTATGATAGGGTGGAGTGGCATTTTTTTGCTACTGTCTGTAAAAAAATGGAGTTTTGTGATAGGTTTGTCTCTTGGCTTATGGCTTGTGTCTGTAGTTCTTCTTTTTCCTTCCATATTAATGGTAACATATGTGGTTCTGTTCTCCCATCTCGAGGATTAATGCAAGGAGACCCTCTATCTCCTTATCTTTTCATTTTATTATCTGAAGCTTTATCTAATTTGCTTAATCAGTCTAGAGCTAGAGGTCTTTTTGAGGGTCTCAAAATCAGTAGAAATGCTCATGTTTTGATTCATCTTTTCTTCGTTGATGATGTTATCATTTTTGGTAAAGCCTTTGTTCATCAAGCTTTGATTCTTACAGACATTCTAAAAGCTTATGAAGGGGCATCAGGGCAGGTCATTAATTTAAACAAATCTTCAGTATTTTTTTCCAAAAATTCTGATGATTCTTTGAAGGCTGATATTTATCAGGTTTTGGGAGGGATTGAAGCTGTGTCATCAGCTAAGTACTTAGGTCTGCCTTTAGGGCTGGGGAAATCCAAGAGAGAAGTCTTTAAATTTGTGAGTGAGCATGTTAAAAACAGATTTGGATCCTGGAAATATAAATTTCTGAGTAAAGCTGGTAGAGAGATATTAATCAAATCTGTTCTGAACTCAATCCTTGTGTATGTGATGGCTTGCTTTAAATTACCAGTCTCTGTGTGTAAGGACATTTGCAAATACATTGCTTCCTTTTGGTGGGGTTCTTCTGATCAGGGTGGGGCAGGATTCATTGGACTTCTTGGGCTGGTCTAGCTAAGGAAAAAAAGAGGGGGGGGGGGGGGTTTAGAGATATGAAAGTTTTTAATGAAGCCTTGATATTAAACAATTGTGGAGATTACATACCCAACCTAATCTTTTAGTTAGCAAATTTTTAAAGGGTAGGTACTTTCCTAATACGTCTTTGTTTGAGGCTAAAAAAAGAGATGGGGATTCTTGGCTTTGGAAGGGTGGTTGAGTGTTAGAGAGTTCTTACAGTGGGGCCTCAGATATCAAGTAGGAGATGGTGTATCTATTGATGTTTGGAATTCTCCCTGGATTCCAAACAAAACTTTCTTTAAACCTGCTAGTGTGCCTAGTGTTGTGAGAGGATCAGTGCACAAAGTGAGTGAGTTAATGATTGAGGGGGGAAAGAAGTGGAATGCAGACTTGATAAAGCAAATTTTCAATCCCTATGATGCCCAATCCATTCTGCAAATCCCTCTCAAGCAAGTAGGGAAGAAATATAAGTTGTGCTGGCACTTCGAATCCAAGGGCCAATTTACTGTTAAATCAGCATATCGCAGTATCATTGCTGACCACTCAAGCAGATGTGGACAGGCGTCTTCTAGCAAATCAAATCAAGGGTATAAGAAAATGTGGCAGAGAACATGGAAATTGCCATTACAACCTAAACTGAAGAATTTCATGTGGAGACTGATTCATGGCTATTTGAGCACAAAGTGCAATCTAATGAAAAGAGGAATGCAGGTGGATCCCACCTGTATGCTGTGTAGAGAGGCACAAGAGGATACTGAACATCTTTTTTATCAATGTTACAATGCTCAGAGTTGTTGGAAATTGCTAGGCTTGGAATGGACATCTCTACAAACCAATTCATATCCCATAGAGCAGTGGTGGTTAGAAATCTGTAACAGCAAGGGTTTTCATAAACTCCAACATAGAATCACTTTGTCTGTTTGCTTGTTATGGAGACTGTGGAGAGCAAGGAACAACAGAGTTTTTAACAATGAGCCTTTCAGTGAGTTGGATGTTGTATTAGGTGCAAGAAGGGATTGGGAAGAGCTTCAGGGTATCACTCAAACTCAGCCAAGGCCAGAGGGAGAGGTCAAAGAATGTACTCAGTATCGAGAGGAACAATCTTCCAAGAGAGTAGGTCTTGTATTGTTACAGGTCAGTGCGCTATGTTCTTCAGAGGGAAAAGTAGAAAATCGGAGGCACAACTATCCAAAAAGAGGCTCAGATTCATTCATGGCACACCTTTGACCCAGGGATAGACTCTAAGGTACATATTTCAATATCATTGGTGTTGTGGGCTCTTAAGGAAGCGAAAAATATGGGCTGGGAACAAGTACAATGCAATCTACATGATGAACAGACAGTGGATAGGCTAAATGCTTTGAAGACCGGGGATAAAGAAGTAGCAGGAGCCTTTATGGAACTATCAAATATTATAGCTGCATTTGTTTTTTGTTCTTTTTCAGTTTCTTAGACTTTTGAATATGTGTAATGGTTTCTTTGGTGTTGAGGGTAGGTCATTTGGACTGTACCCATGCTGATCTCTTGCTAACCTTTCTGTTTGGCTTGAGTGAAGTTGTAATCAGTGGATTATTCGGATGTTTCTGTTTGGTTTGAGTTCTAATATATTCATTTTTCCATGGAAAAAAAAAAATCATTACGACACATATACTTGTTCGCATTTTACTGCCAAAAATTATTTATGAACCAACAGAAAAATTAAGTTTAAACAAAATCAATTTTTTTCCGTACAACTTGTCTCACATTTGACGATAGTCCAGTGTAAGTGTAAAAACACACGATCTGATAGATCAGTTGGGTGATCAAAGATAGAGCAACAAGAATGTCACTTGTCTAATTGAGCTGACAATATCTCCATATGATGGCTCAAAAATAAGTTAAACAATTTATAACACCACAAATGAGCATAGATATAACTATTTTATAGTTAGACAATTTTATTCACACTAATCAAACAACTCTAGAAAGCAAGAACGAATACCAAAGTTAGCAATCAAAAGTTCAAAATATCTGTACTTATTTTATTTCACTTGTCTAAAACTCATAATCAAATCAATAAACTTCTACCAAGAGCATATCAAGGATCCTGCCTAGTCCCACCAAATACAATTTTATCCATACAAATCAAACTACTCTTGGAAAAAAATGTGAATATGAAAATTAGCCATCAAAATATATTTACTCATTACACTTGTCTACAAACTCATAATCAAATCATTGAACTTCTATCTAGAGCATATCAAGGACCCTTACCTTACCAGTCCCAACAAATACAATTTTATTCACATAAATCAAACTACTCTATAAAGTACATCAATTTTACCAGTCAAATCTCTTTACTTCTTTCAGTTGTCTACAAACTCATAATCAAATTATTAAACTTCTATCAAGAGCATATCAAGGATCTTGCCTAGTCCGTACAAATTTTATAATTATTTCAAGACGACAATCCCAAGAGAGACACATACCACAAGAATATGGTGTCCAATCTCCATAAATAACATAAATAACAGTATATGGTATATGGTAGAAATCAAGAAGAAGCTATAAGAACCATTATTAGCTAAAATAACTTACTTTGTCATCATGGCAAGAGGAAGTTTAGAAACTTCATCTGCTACTGCTTTTTTGGTCTTTGAAGTTCGTTCTTTAACTTAAAGGCATAAACAAAGAACTTCATGTCTAAAGAAAAGATCAATGTGATACAAAACAAATAACTTAAACTCGAATACCTTCTGGAATTAGCAGTTTTTAAACCAATAATGTTTATTTATGTAGAGGAAATCAATCAAGATATTACCAATTTAGTCACATTTTTCATCATATTATTACCATACACCATGTAACAAACATTGGACTACAAATATACCAAAACTAAACACAATTTAACATTAAACATTTGAAGATAATTCAAACAATGTTTTACTCCATAAGCTACTGCAATAGCACCCTCAACAGGATTTTTCCTTGTCATTATCTGCAGATAAAGCCAGAAAATTTATATTAAATGAGTTTAAAATTTAAAGCGAAAAAGAAAAATGCAAAACCTTGTGATCTTCACCAACAGAGAGGTTAGAGAGGTTCCTAAGTCCTCTGAGTCTTCCATATTTTCTCTGCAACTGTACTCAAATCCAGAAAATTGAGATTAAATGCATAATCAATAGACCTTATACATCTGAAACTACACCAAAACACCAATTATTATGCATAATATCAATATAAATATATATATATATATATATATATCTATATATTATTTTATTGTTTATGTTAATAGTTTACACCTTTTTCTCCAGGATGAGGAGTGCAAGGTTTTGGTTGAGAACAGTTTTCACTTGAGCCAAAGGAGCAGTGAAGAAGGATATCCACAATGTAACTATTACTACGTGAGAAGCAAATACAGCCGATAAAGAATTGGATGCAGCTGGGGTTTTCTTTACCACATTGACTACAACTCCCCAACCCCAGTCTCTGCCACCCTCCCTAACCTTAACCTACAATGAGTGGCCGAAAGAGAAATGAAATAGAAGAAAAAGAAATTAAATCCAATGGACAACTAAGAATATGTCAGGGAACAATAAATCCATTCTGTAGAAAAAGCTTGTACATCAAACATAAAACACTGCAAAAGAAAAACATTACCCATAAAAAATACAGACCAACATGCAGCAAAGATAATAGTAATATTGAAATGAAGAGTGTGTTGCATTCAAGCTTCTTTAGATAACACAATAATGTGGCAACACACTAGAACTGAGAAAGTAAAAAACTCAAAAGAAGCATCAGATTTTGCAATATAACAGATATAATCAGTCGGGAATAATGGATACATAACAATGAGAAAGAATGATCCCACTACAAAATGTGCAATCGAGCAATTGTCGAGCCAAATACAAGAGAAATCACTACAAGAAAAATTCAAAGACAAGTCGTACAAAACCGCTACATACACGGACAAACAAATAGAGCTCAAGTATCTCGCCACAGAAGATCAACTCGCAGATATCTTTACGAAAGCCCTACCAAGACCAAGATTCGAGATACAACGGAACAAGCTTGGAATTATCCGATGAGCACTAAGAGGAGTGTTAAAGTTAATGCTCATTCCTAAAATATATACCTAGATTAATCTAGAAGCTCTAGAATTAATAGAAACTTAGAAATTAGTCAAAGGCGGTGAAATGAGGCGGCTATAATGATGTACTCTAGAATTTTCTGTACACTGTGAACATCAGAGCTTGAATGATAAGTGTAGAATTGAAAAGAAAAACACTTGACTTCAACAATTTACTACATCAAATAAATAAAATAAATAAAGTAATTCACTTCCTTTCTTCTCACCATAATACATTTATATTCCACCATCTCCATACATTATCATCCCCGGCGGAATCGATTGCCTGACTGATCCAAGCATTTCCATATACTTCTATTTGTTATTATATTAAAATTCTTTTATAAAAGGGGTGTTTCAACTGGGATTAAAAAATTTCCATTAAAAAGTATTTCTACAATTTCACAAATTGAAAACAGATTGATTAATGAAAATGGGATATATATCATAAGCCTAAAGCAAAGAAGCAATATAAATGAGGAACAGCACCGTGGCACTCCACCTCATCATCAGTCCCTTTCTTCCCTCCAAATCCACCGTCCCCGACGACACGTAGTCTTTGAATGGGACCACCCCGTACAACGTCTGGATCCCCACCACGTCATCCTCCGCCAGCTCCACATTTCTCGTCCTCCGCCCCTGGTGAAAGTACATGACCGCATCCCTATCCGTCGAGTGGCCGAGCCCGAGCACGTGTCCGATCTCGTGCATAGCCACCGACTCGAGGTCCACCGCAACCTTGGACCGCTCCTTGCGCAAGTCGGTGGCCCATCTCTCGGCCGCGTCCAGGTGGATCTGCCCGTCCTCGGGTTCGGACGCGTGGGCCAGCTCACCGAGCACCCCGTCGAATGGGGCCCCGTCCCCGTGGTCCCCGCTGTACCACCCGATCTTCACGTCCGCGTTTTCATAGTCCTCCGTCTCGGTGAAGGTCACGGGGATGCACGCGGACCAGCGTGCGAACGAGCGGGCGAACGCGGCCCGCACCTCCGCGGGGTCCAGGTAGTCGATCCCGTGGTCGGGAGAGAAGGCGTAGGTGAGGGTGCTCTTGTGCCAGCGTGGGGTGACTGGGGTCCCGGGGAAGTAGATGAAGTGGGACACATCGTGGAGGAGGGAAGGAAAGGGAAAGGGGGCGGGGGCGGGAGAGGGCGAAGGCTCCGCCGGAGACAGCGGGAGAGAGGAGAGGCAGACTAGGGAGAAGAGCACCAATAATACTGATTTGGAATACCCAAAACAGTACGGGGACATAATTAGATATATTTAATTTATGCCGCGAGTTTATCTTAATAATTAGAAACGGGGAGGAAAAATTATTAGTAGGACTCGGAAATTGAAGTTCAGAGTGACTTGATATTTTTGTTCAGGGTAACATGCCTCAGTTTATATTTATAGGAATTAATAATGTTTTTCCTAATTGTAATAGGAACAGTATAGGAATTGTTAATGTCTTTCCTAATTCTTGTACCAAAAAAAAAAAAATGTTTTTCCTAATTCTAATAGGAATTAATTTTTATTATTATTTTTTCCTATATTCGTTAGAATTAGATAACCTAGATATGATGGGGGTAAACAAACAATCGTTGGATGAAAGTTGGAAGATTATTCTTGTGTGAGATGCAGGAATTTTTTAATACTAATTAACGTGGGACCCTAGTGTTTATATTAATTTTAGACTTAATTAAAAATTAACTAATCACATTTTTTTTAGTAAATGTGTATATATTTAAATTGAGATGTCATATATCTATCTATCTATCTATATTTATATTATTATATAATCTATAAAAAGTAGCAGAACTCGTGCGATGCACGGAGTGGATAGTTTTAAGACTATTTACCAAACTTTGTTAGTTTATTTGTGGATAAAGAAAATTAAATAAATAGAACAAAAAAAGACTATTATATATTATTAAAAATCTCCTTGTTGACAATATTTTTTGTTTGCCTTGTAGGCACACTGGTACGTAAAAGACCTCCAACCGGCTGGAATCGGCCTGATTCCGTGCTCTGCTGTAGTTGAATGCCTTTAAACCTACAAAAACTCTCACACCGGAGAGATTTCCCGATGAAAAGTCTCCGATTCTTAAGTTAGCACTTATAGAAGATAAAGTGCAATATGAGTGTATGGAATAATGGAGAGTGTAATGTGTTAATGGGCATACCTCACTCCTTTATATAAGGAGATGATACCTTGTTGCCCAACACTACTCAAATGGCTGCCTATATTGCTCGAGTTGCCCGATAGTACAGCCCGAACTGCCCGGTCTACCAGAATTACACAATTATGTTAGGTCACATGGCCTTATCCACGTGCGGCTCTTAATCCCTTAAGATTATTTCTTATCCCTTAGTCTTTTATATTAGACCGCATAATGGTGTGACCAACTCTAGGTCATCTGAGGTATAACGTTGCCTGCTCTGGGCCTAAGCGTTGTCCTTTATGGTCAATCACACGACCAACTATGCCTACAGGTCGAGTTTCCAGCTGGCCATCTGGAGGGCCCTAACTCGACCTGTCGTTACCCCTTTGAGCCTTTCGCTCCTTTCGACCAGAAAATGCCTTGTTTGATGTTCGACTTCCCAATTGTTCTACTTCGACCACCCAGTTCATTCAACCTGATCCGGTTCACTGTATTTTCTCTTTCGGGTATGGTATCCTATATCAGTATCACACGTCATCCTCCCTGCAAACTAATATTTTCAAGTCCTTTCGGTTAGTGACACGGGAAACACCTATATAGCTACTTACAACTGACTGTGACTAACAATTTCAATCCCGCAAACAAATATTTCCTCCTAAATAATTATTTAAATAAATGGCCAACACAATTTTTACAAAAAACGTATAACAAAATTGAATGAAATAAGTTGTTGCTCCAAGTCCATAAAAGAAAACACAATCATTTGTGTTGGGACACCATAATCTCTGTTATTTAAACGGCCCTGATTTCAACCACCAACTCAATTACATCTATAAATAATATGAAGTTATTATTTTAAAATATATCACAATTATTCATGCAAAAAAATTCAAAAATAATTGATAGTTGTTCTCCACTTGGTATTTGTGAATTCTATAAATTTATCCTTCTTCGATTTTGTTCATCCATTTCTTTATATGGGTAGCCCGTATGATTGCAATGATACGAAATCTCTATATTAAAAGTAAATTAAGCATAAGTAAATAAATAATTTATCTAAAAAAATTATAATTACATAAATAAAAGAACAATAAGAAAAAAGAACACCTCCTCGTTGTGAAATAGAATTTCCACGAAATTCTTATAATCAGCCTCAAATTTGTGTTCAATTATTCGAATCGTACGCAACTTTATGGGTTGCTTCTTAGTTCTAGTGGTATTTTTTATCAGACCGAAGTCTCACTTCATGTTGAATTGATTTAAATAAAAAAATCGTGTATTTGTGTAGTAAAAAAATGAATCGAAAGCAGGATGAGTAAAAAGAATAAGAGGGTATATTTATATTAATTCCATAAATATTGATATAAAAATACTTTAACCGAGGCAATAAATTGCCTATAATTAGGGGCAATATATAATTCACACGTTTCTAAGGTTAATTTCCTCGAAATCTAGTTTGATTCATTTTTCCGACTTTTGCTTCTCTGCAGTATATTGGGTAGGATACACATGAATTTTATTAATTTGGAATAGTTTATTTTTTTATTTTTTTTTTACCAAAAAAATTTCTTAATTTGCTATGAAGTTACAGAGGAAGAAGAACAAAGTATATTTAGATTAATTCCAAAAATATTTGATATGAAAATATTTTAACAAAGACAATAAATTGCCTATGATTTGTGGGATTATGTAATTCACATGTTTTTTGGTTGAATTGATGTTATATATAATATGCTGAGATACACATAAATTTATTTAATTTGGCAAAAATATTTATTTTGTACAAAATTAAAAATATGTCTTCATTTGATATGAAAATATAGGCGCAGAAGAAAAATATTTATTTTAGTGACAATAAATTTCTTGTACAGAATTAACACAAAAAAACTGTATTCATTTAAAGCACACTTTTCCTAATTGTTTTATGTAAGCTAAACTTTTAATTAATTGTTAAAAGTTAACTTTAATTTTCAGGAAGTCAGAAAAATAAGTTTCTTGCACCATGTTTTATTTAAAATCAAACGTGTTATAAAAGTCTGGAAGATTTTGATTTTGGTAGTGTATTGGATCGAATTTTGGTTGTAAATTAAATCTCATGATTTTTATGTCTGCAGTTTAAATTAAACTTCTAATTGATTGTGGACTTAATATTTGCATATTTGATTCAGATCCTTCAAAAAGAATTATTCATAAGTTTCCTATATGGAGCAAAATATTGAAGTTTATGTGCAAGGAATATTTTATTCAAGGTTAAAGTCTAACTATTGTAACTATGGTCGGATCTATATTTGCAGACATACAAACAAATCTTTTTCAATATTGTAGATTAAAAATTTCTAAAACAACACACACACCATTGTAAATTCCATATATTAAACTTTATACTATATATTAAATTTTATACCATATTTTGATTAATTAATTTCCCAAAATAGTAAATAATCTTTTTTGGAAAGAAATAGTTACTATTTAAAAAATAATCAAACCTTTTTATATATATATAGATATGATATGCCTACAATACCCTTACTTTTTCATATTTATAATCTCAAGTTTGTAATTTAACATCCATTCTATACTAATATTTTTAATTATTAACTAATATATATATATATATATATATATATATATATATATATATANTTAAATACCTACCAGAAACACATATTGTTCTCTATGCAGAAAAAAATAAAAAAATAAAAATAAAAATAAAAAATCCCCCCACCTCTCATATCTGAATAGACGACATTCAATCACCTAATGGGCCCTCCAGTTTATAGATACAAGTAGCTTATTAAGGCATTTTGCCCTAATCTGGTTATGATGTGGAAACTAGAATAAGAGGTGTGACTTAGCCTTTCACATGGTTTATGAATAATGATTTGAACAATAGATAGGGAGACAAAACAATATATAGGGAGACAACTTCTTATAGGATTATCGAATTGGACAATTTGAGTTGCATCATGTTCGTTGAAATGGGTTCATGCCTCAGCAAAATTTACTAATCTCACTGGTGAACCAACTGATTTCTTACATACACATATACAAATTTATTATTAATTTACTTGTTTATTTTCCCATTTGCTAGATTCACCTGAGCCTCCCGATAATTCCGGGAACTCAACGAAGGTCATAGTAGATGTATCGTGCGTTGTTTTTTTTTTCTTGCTTGTTTTCCCTTCAGTTTTGTTTGCCGTCTTCAGAAGCAGAGCAACTAGGACAATCTAATCATATCTTTGAAGTTTGGATTGACAGTTGCAAAAGGCCATTATTATGGGTATGCTTTAAATTTGCGATTTTCTTAGTCGTTTTTTCGAACACTTCTTTTCATCTCAGAAAGAAAAAAGTAAAAGCTATTTCCAGGTTTAGTTTGTTTAGCTTGAAGCATGCCAATAAGTTAAGGATTTTCTCCAAATAATTGGATTGATATTTGTCCCATGTGAATCACAAGAACTTTGTAAACCTTACAGGTTACTGTGAAGAAGATGAGCGTTTCAATAGGATGATGGTTTTCGAGTAAGCTCACAACGGCACTCTCTTTGAGGACACACTTTATGATCACGACGGCTCGTGCCTTGATCTTCCAGTCGGTTTATTGTCTACTTCAGGAACATGTTAATTTTTTTAACCATTTCCTAGACATGTGATGTTAATTGTGTTCGTGATGCAACCACTTCCACAGCAGAAATATTATATAGCCACAAATGAGGTGACAGTTGTTGTACGATTTTCTCACATTTCTACTGCTTATTTTCTTTCTCTCTTCCTTTGTAATGGAGTATGGACAACTTCATGTTTCTTTTCCTGCTAATAGATTGTATTTTTTTTTCTTTTTTTTCACCTTACCTCAGCTACCATCAAATCCAATTGCACTTGTCACAAGTAATTTGCTTTCTGCAGGGTCAAAGCTTTGCTCATACCATTTGATACTTAAATGCTTATATGAGAAATAGAGTATGTTGAGCTTATTACTTAGTTTCTTGTATCTTTCCTAATTTGAGTCTGGAATTAGTAGAAGTGACTTTATGTAGCTTTGCAGGACTTTGCAATATTATCTCATGATTATGTTATTTTTCAAATGATACGGGAACTCGGTTTCAATGT